ATTAATAAATATTTAATTTAATTACATTTTTAATTTAATTTACATTTAATTGAATTAATAAATAAGAATTAATTACCCAAGGTAACTGATTGTAGACTTTTAGCAGTTTAAATCTAGGGGCTAAAAATACTGGAGTAATCCCTTTTGGAAATAGAACTTAGGCTTTTAAATGTATGGTCCTTTTCATCTGATGCCTATTACATTAATATGGAATTGCTGCATGATGTGAATGCTTTTATAATGAGATATTAATTTTCTGATTCTTTGCTGAACTGATGTAATCTACTGATGTTCTTTAGAAATGTCTAGAGTTCATGTGCATTGTAGTTACAGGGACCATCGGAATCTTATGTGCACTTCCATTAGCTCCGTTTCCACTAAGTAAAGCTCTATTGCCTCTCTCAACTGATACTTATTTTCCAGGAGGTAAACTAATAATCTTCCACGTCTAACAATTTTTTTGGTATACCTTCTGACTTGGCCTTTAGTTGTGGGTTGACCCCAACAGGGGTCTAAGCACCACACAGCCACTCACTCACATCCTCCCCTCCTCCCCGGTGGGATGGGAGAAGAGGAAAGGCAGAGTAAAAGCAAAAAAACTTGTGGGTCAGGATAAAAAATGTTTAATAAGCAAAGAAGAAGTGGAAGAAGAGAGAAAGAAAACAAAACAAGTGATGCAAAAGCAATCACTCGCCACCTCCCACAGGTAGACTGATGGCCAGCCAGCTCCCAAGCAAAAGATGTGCAACCTCCCTAAACCCCCTCCTCTCCCTCTTTATTTGCTGAGCATGATGTTACATGGCATGGAACATGTCTTTGGCTGGCTGGGTTCATCTGCCTGCTTATGTGCCCTCCCAACCTCTTGCACACCACCCAGTCTATTCACTGCGAGGGCAGAGTGAGAAACAGAGAAAGCCTTGATACTGTGCAAACCCTGTGCAGCAACAGCTGAAACGTTAGTGTGTTATCATCGTTTTAGTCACAAATCGAAAACACAGCACTGTGTGAGCTGCTGTGAAGAGGATTGACTCTGTCCCAGCCAGACCCAGTACATTTTGAAACCTATTGTTTTCTGCTGTTCAGTGTGCTTGAATACACTGCTGGGCAAGCTGGGCAAGAGGCAAGCAATAAAATGCTCTAGCAAGGTCGATATTTCTTCCACTCTTATGTCAGCCTCACACAATTAACTTCATGAGAGCTATTCCTGATTCACGCTGCTTCTAAGTGCTAAAAATAAAAAGACAAATGTTCCTACCGTGTTAGTAGTTGCATCATTGTAAAGAAAATTTATATTTCAAATAGGAAATATTCTTTTAAATTGTTTTATTTAATTTTTTGGTCATGTTGACATTTCTTTTTTTTATCCTTCCAGCACAAGTACAAACAAGCATGGGAAGAAGACAAAAAGAAAGTTCACATCACACCAGATATTCCACAGATTGCATTAGCAAAAGTTAATGCATTTAATTTAAGTGATGTGAGTACTGTTTGTAAGACTATGATGTTGCTCTTATTTTTTTTATTAGGAATAAGTGAGATGATGGCATACAAAAGTCTCCCTAATTCTCACTTCGCAAATCTGTAGTAATTCCAGAAAAAGCTATCAATTTTCCTTTTCCCCACTTCCTTCCTGAAAAATAAATACCAAAAGTTGCCAAGAAAAAGCCATAATGTTTATAGTCAGATTATGAAGTGTTCATGTAGGGCATTACAATATAATAGTTACTAACAAAATAGTAGAGTTTGAGTACTATCTATGTTTGTTACTGTATTTATTATTTCATTTCCCCATGCACAAAGTTTTGTACTGGGTTCGAAATTCATTCTTGCAGACTGAACCTATTCCTTCAGTAACAGGTGATGTTATAGACAGTTTTTCAGTAGCCAGTTGTTGAATCTGCATATGCTAGGTAAAGCACTGTTTGTGACTGTGCTCATCTTTAATGTGCACAGAAATAGACATATTTATCACATTTTTTTAAAGCCCATATCCTTGTAGATGTAACTTTTCACCAGTATTTGTGCATGTGGGAAATAGATTCAATTTCTCATCCTTTGTTATAGGTTATTGTTACTAATTATAGCACAGTCCAGCTGCACTGATGTATGAATACTAGGACTGGAGTTAATTTTGAAGGAGTATTCATCTCTCTGTGTGCCTGAGTGCCTTAAACACCTCTTCAAGGAGTGTTAAACATATGAATAGTCTGTATTTCAAGTTATCATATAAAATGAATAGAGTTTTGTTTAAGTAAGTGTGGTGTGTTTTGCTTTTTTAAAGGATGTTTCTCTTTCTTTTCACAGAAAATGTACAGACTTTCATTTGAAGAATCTAGGAAGAAAGGGTATGATCTCAGAGCTGATGCTATCCCTATTAAAGCTGCCAAAGCTTCTAGGGATATTGCTAGTGACGTAAGTGCTTGAAAGAAAAGACGATCCATTTCAGATATTGTAAAGCATTAATTTCTTGACACAATTCAATTTTATATGCTAATTATATGTAGTCTCTTTATTGTCTTGCTTGTAAATAATTCTTATATTCGATATATATTCTAATACATTTTCTAACAGGGTTAAAGAACAATTTATTGGAAAGGTAAGGAGATATATGAGGCACTCTTAGAAAAAAATTAAGCCAGTTCATTCCTCAGTGTGATGGTGCTTGGATAGTTTATACATGTATGTTGTATATTTGTAGTTTAGACAGAATGTTCAGAGACCATTTTTAGAAATATTTGAGAAGAACAGACACAAACTTAAATTAGTTTTACTGCTGCAGTACAGTTATCTTTATTCCTTTGGTGAAAGTCCCATTAAATTTCTTGGTGCAGAGAATACAAGCTTCTGGCATCAGGACCATTCGGAAATCCTTTGTGTATCAGTGATGAGGGATTTGCTGTGGCAGGGGCAAATCCAGCCTGAGAGAGGGCTGAAGTTAGGGCCTAAGGACAGGTTTTTTAGCCCCCCTTTTTTTTTTTTTTTTGGACAGCATAGGGGATGTTGCTGCCACTGTAAAGTCAATTTGCAGAATAAACTATTGTAAGGAAATTTCATTTATTAAGAAAGTGTTTTAAATATCCTCCTTTTAGAAGGGAAGATAGACATTTGCTTTAGAGTGCACCCTAAGAGTAGGTGGACAAAGCCACCACCTCTATATGCTTTGTGATGTTTTCTTAACAATGTAAAAATCTTATTTTAATCTAAGTTTTGGAGTTTTTTTCCTTACAAGATAGATATTGCTAATTAAACAAATGAAGTAGAATTAAAGTCTCTGTCTCTGTTCTCTTTACAGTATAAATACAAATTAGGTTATGAACAAGACAAGGGAAAACTTGTAGGCTTCCGCAGCCTTCAGGATGATCCCAAACTTGTCCATTATATGCAAGTGGCGAAGATGCAGTCTGATCGTGAATATAAGAAAGCTTATGAGTCGAGCAAGACACATTACCAAACGCCTTCTGATACACTCAGCATCGTGGCAGCTAAGGAGGCGCAAGATCGTGTAACCAATACTAACTACAAACGACTGATTCACCATTATATGCTTCTACCAGATGCAATGAGTTTGGAACTGTACAGAAACATGAATCAGATACAAAGTGACGTAAGTTTCTGTTTTCCTTCTGTCCTTCACAGCTGTGACTTTTTTTCCTGTTTTTTTCATTATGGCTGTGTTCTGGAAACAACAGAGTTACTTTCCATGAGCCATTTGTAAATTGTAAACTTTCCTTTTGTGTTCTGTTTGGCAGAATGAGTACAAGCAGGATTACAATGAGTGGTTCAAGGGTATCGGTTGGAGTCCTGCTGGTTCCCTGGATGTGGAGAAATCTAAGAAAGCCACAGAAATTGCGAGTGATCAGAAATACCGCCAGCACCCCAGCATGTTCCCCTTTACCAAACAGAATGACTCCATGGACATGGTCCTTGCAAAGCAGAATGCAAATATAATGAACAAAGTGAGTATTTATGGGGAAAATTAGGCAGGCATTCACATATAATCCATTTCAATAAACAGTCTGTAAGTCTCTGTCACCACCTTTATGTAGCAGTGTTTCCCTAGGTAAAACAACTGTCACTTAGAGGTTCCTCTTTTTTTTTTTTCTTAATGAAACACTCAGTTATTGATAAATAGCATTGGTTAAATAAATCTTTTCTCATTTTTCTCATTGCTACCTCTCCAACCTCAATTCTTCTCATTCTTGTCTAGAAATTAATGGCCCTGAAAATCTTGATAGTTGGACTTCATTAGTCTGGATCCTAATTCAGCTGATTCTGGATTAGGTCATCACATAGTAAAATAAATCTAAGTCAGCACCTTTGTCTCTTTACCCATCCATATCCAAAGTGAGCAAATGGAAAGGTGAAAGCCATCCTTTGTCATTTATATTAACACATCTGATGTCACTTTTTTCAATAGCATGCTTATACTCAGGCTTGGGAGAAGGATAAAATTCAGGTTCATGTGATGCCGGATACACCAGATATTCTACAGGCAAAACAAAACAAGGCGAACTACAGTCAGGTAAAGTTTTTTAATACTTCCTATTACATTTTAAATTAATATCTACTTTCTTCAAATTTAAAGGTGCCTCCGATTTCAAAATAAGTAATTAATATATGTAAGTTAGAAGCGGAATGGGGGATTTAGAACAGAGGCAAGAATTTTTATGTGAGTAATATTTTCAGAGTAGCAATAAGTACTGTCTTCAGGCTAGCAAAGTAACAGCCTAAATTACACTATAATGTATGGAAAATATAAGTCATATTTTTGAAATCTAGATATGCATAGTCCATACTCTGTGCTTACCATAGAAATCAATCATGTTGAAAGTTCTTTACTATAAAATTACAAGTTCATTGTGTGTATTTTTAACTTAGCGTATGGGAAAATAAATACATGTAGTGATTCTAACTCTTCTGTCAGCTTTCAAATATGACAAAGTGACAGTTGTGCCAGTATAAAATACTTAGGTTTTGCTTTGCGTGATTCTTCAGCAGCAAATCTTTGACTTGCAAATGCTGGTACTTAAAATCAACTGCACACAAACCGAATTGGCTATTAAATGGCTATATTACTGCCTTATTAATTAAAATTTTGTTAAGCCAATTGGAAAGTTTTAAGTTATCCCAGATGTATGTATTTCAAATTCCCCAGATATGTTTCAAATCCCCAAGATAAGCTATAGTAGGAAGCTGCTGCAGTAAAGAAAGACTGTTTAATCACTAGCCTAAGACCTGGAAGATCTGCGTTCCTTGCTTATTGGTTTCCCACTTTTCAGCTCCCATTCTAGCAGCCCTCCTCTTGTAACTGAAGCCTGTGAGGTGACCAGAATTTGGTAATATGGATCATTAGCATATCTAAATAGAAGGTGACATACGTATTACTAAGACTTTTTAATTAGTATTGTTTTCAATTTTAGAAACTATACAAGCTTGGCTGGGAGGAAATGATAAAGAAAGGCTATGACCTCACACCTGAAGCCATTTCAGTGAAAGCTGCCAAAGCTTCAAGGGACATTGCAAGTGACGTAAGCAACATTTCATGAATATATGAATCAGATGGCACGGGAGGACCATTCTTATAGCCATGCAGTCTTCCTCTCCAGGGACTCTGTTTATTCCCAGGGAGAGCATTCACTGACATCAAGGGGCTACTAAGCCTTTACATGCGGTGCCATAACAAGTTGCTCATTTCATTGGTAATAAGAAACATTGAATTGAGTGAATATATTGATATTTTGCTTATATATTTTACCACTGTCTGTTTCTTACTGCAATTTCAATAACGTAACCTTTATAATTTTAGTACAAGTACAAAGAAGGTTACCGGAAGCAGCAGGGACATCACATTGGATTCCGCAGCTTACAGGATGATCCTAAGATGTTGTGGTCTATGCAAGTAGCTAAGATGCAGAGTGAGAGGGAGTACAAGAAAGATTTTGAAAAGTGGAAGACAAAGTTTAATATGCCCGTGGACATGTTAGGCTTCCTTCTGGCTAAGAAGTGCCAGGAATTGGTTAGCGATATAGACTACAAACATATGCTACACCGCTGGACTTGTCTGCCAGACCAGAATGATGTCACCCAGGCAAAGAGGGTCTACGAACTACAGAGTGATGTAAGCTTCCTCTGGATTTAATTAATTTTTTTTTTTGTAAGATATTTACTGCTTATTGAAAAGTATCTTTAATAACTCCCTTTTGATGTCAGTATAGATCTGATTGAAGCTAAAATACCAGTTAGTCATTTAATATGGTTTACTAAATGAACAGGGAAATAATCTACTGTGGTTTTGATTTTTATTTTTCCTTAACAGAATCTGTATAAGTCAGATCTACAATGGCTCAGAGGCCTTGGATGGAGTCCTCTGGGATCTTTGGAATCTGAAAAGAACAAGAAAGCTTCTGAAATACTGAGTGAAAAGAAGTACCGGCAGCACCCAGATACCATTAAGTTCACCAGTATCCCAGATGCCATGGATATCGTTTTAGCAAAATCTAATGCCAAAAACAGAAGTGATGTAAGTTACCTCTAGAGACAGAACATGTGATTCAATAAATGAATATGTTAGTATACATTTGTTAAAAAGATCTCCATATCAGAACATGTGCTTAAAATATACAAATACCAGATGTTTACGATCAGTTCCTTACTGCTCAGTTTTCAAGAAGTACTACACCTTGTTCAGAAGATTAAGGTCTTTAGTGCTGTATAACTTATTCAGTAATAACTGCACATAAGACCCTTTAGTATGTTGTATGTAAATGTATTATCATAATGCTGTTTCCTTGATATTTCATGGATGTAAAGAAGAAGAAAAGGTGGTATTTCAGTAAGAAGTTGTTGTATTATTTGATTTTAATATCTTGCGTTGTTTACATCGCTCATGCTTGCATAGTACATCTTTGCTTTGCTATTGTAGAGAAAAGGTAAACTGAATTTACTGCTATGCATGAGAGCCTTTTATCAGACAGGGTATTTCTGTTTATGTCTCTTTACAGATACTGTACAGAGAAGCCTGGGACAAGGACAAGACTCAGGTTCACATTATGCCTGATACTCCTGAAATTTTGCTGGCTAAATCAAACTTAATTAACACAAGTGATGTAAGTGTGTCTCCACAATATTTGGAATTTGGAATTACCCATTGTGGCTTTAGTTTAAAATGCAGGAGAGTAATTCTGCAATTCTAACAGCTGTAAGCACACCTGTGATCTTTTCCTGTGAAAATTGTTATGCACTGGGAAGCCCAAGTGGAATTGCTAAAATATAAAGTGGAAGTGGAGTTGCTAGAATATAAAAAATACCAAGAAAATATTCAACACAAGTTAGCAGTTTTCTCTTTCATCCCTACTGATCATATTACATTGTAGAAATATTCAGTACTTTTTTGTAAGCCTGTCATTCTTGTTAAAATGTCTCATTATATTGAATTGCCTCTTCAGAATTACATAGGATTATGTAATTCTACATAAAATTCCTGCTTATAATGGAAGAAATATAAACTAAAGAAATGTTAGCAGCTCTATCATAAGAACTCAAGAAGACAAAAATGATTGCAATTGAAATTGGCTGTAGAGAATTATGGGGTTGTATTACTCACCTCTGTAGAAGACTCTATGAATCATTCAGATTAATATGTTAACTAAAAGAAAATTTTGATCTTGAATGAGTTGATCAGAAAACATACATATAGTAATTTTTAAATATTTTATATCATTAGTTACAAAATGCACATTATTAAAAGCAAGCTATGGAATTTAATTTGATGAATGAAACTCTGTTTGGAATCTCCTACTTTATTTTCAATAATCAGGTGAGGAAAGTTTTAGTATTGAAAAACTCTCTAGAGAGCTTTATTTGCAATAATTACTTTGAATCCTTCTCCAACAGAAACATTACAAGTTAGGATATGAAGAGCTGAAGAGGAAAGGCTACGATCTTCCTCCTGATGCTATACCCCTCAAGTCAGCAAAGGCATCCAGAGACATAGCTAGTGAAGTAAGTCTTACAGAGTGAAAATAATAGTGGGGCATAGAGCTGGTACACACGTTTGGATAAAGATGTTTTCTATTTAAAAGGAGAAGAGGTCTAAAATTTTAACACTCTTATATTGCTGCCCTTGCCAGAGGTTGTATAATTCTTAATGGTGTAAAGTTAGTTAAACTAAATACAATGATTTACAATGAGATAATATATAACTATTAAAAAATCAGTTAATATCTTCTAGACACACAACAAAACCACCAAAAATGTTGGAAAAATACTAAAAAAAATTATATATATATATATTACATATGCTACTTTTGACAGCTATATTAACAACAGAGAAATTTAAACTGCAGCTTGAAAAGAGGAGATAATTGTTGTTTCTCCATTCAATTAGTACCAATACAAAACTGCATACCGAAAGCAACTTGGCCACCACATAGG